CAATACCCAATATCTGATTGTATAGGATATTCTGGGATTCAACAATAATTTTGTTATTTTTCTGAAAGAAATGTCTGGTATGAAATGAAATTGTTAGAATTCAGATTATTTTTTATTCAATCTACACCTACCTCTGGGTATACAGAATGTTTTCCATATTAATTTTTTCCATCCATTGTGATAACTGTTATTGAAAGAAAATTTGTTATTAATTTTTCATTAGATATTTCAGTCCATGATTATTGAGAAAAGCTATATTTTGGTCATCCAATAAAACAATAATTGTTTCAGATCATTTATTCAAGCAATAAACATGTGGCATTTTATTAAAATATTTGTTAGTGACAGTTTTCACCAGTTGTTCAGAAAATAATGGATCAAAATCAATTATCACTTGCAGGTATGATTTTCCAAAGGAAGAGTAAACAACAAGAACCTTTGTTGGTAAATTGAGCAACAACATTCCCAATTGCACTTGTCCGTAATATTGATGCTTCTTTTTCAATTCCACCTTTGAATTCCTGATTTCCAAGAATTCACAGGATTCTGGGAAAATTTCTAGCCCATGACTTTTGCCTGATAAAAAAATATTGAATTAAAACTGGTATATTCATACCTATATTTGTTATGAAAAACAATATATGGACATTTGATTTCCAACAATTTTACTGGGGTCATTCCATCCATAATCACTCCATCAGGTGAAAAACCTAACCAAGGGAACGATTTTGAAATGATGAATAAAGGCCTCAAGATTTACTGCCTCTTTCTCCATTTTCAGTCCATATTCAGTGAATTTATTTGAAAATCCTTTGGGAAAAAAGTATTTCAATGATTTGAGTTCCCAGTCAGAATCAGAAACTTTTCTTTTTTCCCCATAAGTGAAGATAGAATAACAAGTAGATCCTGGAAATTTAAGAAAGTAAAATAAATCATTCAATTATTGAGTAAAAGTAGGTATATTGAAAATTCCAGCTCTGCAGTTATAACCCAATAAAGAGGGCAACGCAACTGTACTAAAAAAATATATCCAATTGCTCCTCACCTGTTATTCTAATTTTTCGTTCATTTTTCCATGAAGCTGAGCCTTGTTCATGCTTTGTTGCAATACATAAGATGTTGGAACTTTGTAAGCTTTCCAGAACAGATTTGCAAGATGGTTTCAGGCTATAAAGTTCCAAGTCAATTTCCTTGTGGAGTTTCTGCAAGAATTCACCCTCTTCAATATGTTTCAAAATATCTCTCATATGATCTTCTAGGTCCCTGAAAATAAAAACAGACAACACAGAAAACAGAACTGAAAAAACAAACAGGTGGAACTTCTTTTGTTCTAATTGAAATGGCCGATATGCCTTTTTAATCTTGAATTATACAACCTTCCCACATTTCTCGCTTCACACTCTGCTGCACCAATTTCATCCTTCCCAGGATCTTCCACTTGAGATCTTTCCATAAATACTGTCAGGGCAGAATCACCTACACCTGAAGTTATTCGAATTTGAATGAAACGAAAATACCTACTTCAGCAAGTTCAAGTGTTGTTGATACTTTTTCATTGTCTAAATCTAGGAGATACTTACCATAAGCAAGCAAATTGAAGTTTTTTTTCATTCAGCTCATCTGTTGTGGAATATTTTGTTTTTTTTTGTACATTAGGGTGACAAAACGACTCAAATGGTTTGGGCCTACTGATTCCCACTATTCCCTTTTTTTCTTTACCCCATTTTTGTGCTAGATCTGTGCAGCTCACTGGTTCCAACATCTCATTTCTACAACGTACAACATATATGTCAAAGATATTTGTTAGGAGTTGAACATGGACATTTAGTTTGAAGTTATTTATTATAGTTGTATATTTGTTAAGTCAACAATGACCTATTTACCTGTTAACATAAATCAATGTAGCAATCATATACTTGCAGTATCCTCCTAATCCTGCTTTACAAGAACATTGACAAATCCAAGTCCTATCTAGTTTGATAGTGATTTCATGAGGAGATTCTAGAATTGTAGAGGATCTCATGCATAAACTTTTGATAACTTTTTCGTTATTGGGGCCGTCAGTTCCACATAAGATGATGTGACCAGCTTTAAAAACCTCTTCGCCTTCCTTAATTGGCCGAACACGTTCACCCACATAATCCAGAATTTCAGAAATTGATATGTCCACTTTTACAGCCATTAGATACTAATAAAAATCTATAACACAAATCCATCAGCGATTCAGCGACAATAGCCCTAAAACTCCAAATACAAACCTTTAATACCATTGGAAAAAAATTAAATCAACTGAAATCTCTGAGAAAACTTGAAATATTACCAAATGAAAACGATGTTTTTACAATAGATCAAATGACGGAATATTTGTTGTTCACACCTCAATTCGACATCTTGTCATTTGCAGTGCGAAACCGGTACTTTCACTAATAACATTATTTATGCATAATTCTACAAAAGGCAAGACACAAGCCCAACGGGTATGTCTATCGCTACAATACGTTCTTATTAATCGCCCGATCTCTCGGTTATATCTTTCCGTGAGGTTACCTTCCGGAAAATATACCTTCGCTAGCTAATGTATCTTTCCAGCGCTTGCTGGAAAATTGAGTGCCGTTATCGCTCAGTATCGATTCAGGTTTTATATAATTTCACATATTTGGAGAATGCGTCTGAAAATACTTAAACCTGTGTTGCACCACCTCTTGAGGCGGAGAGTGGACCTACCAGGTCCGTACACACACAATCTCCCGGTTTTCTTGGTAAAACGACATTAAATTCGCCATGACATTTTCCCTACATTTAGAATGCTGACAAATATCGCAGGCGGTGACAATTTGTCCAATGTGTTTTTGCATTTTTGGCCAGAAAAATCTCTGACGCATTTGGGAATAAACCTTGGATTTGCCAAAATGGCCAAAATCACATGTCGTGTTGAAGTGAACTTGATGAGTGACGGACCTTGATTTAATTGTCATTGAACTTACTGAACTAATGGAGAAAAATTTGAAGTTGACATGCATGACATGACATCTAAGACATGACATGTGTCAAAGGAAAGTCAAGAATGTTTATTATGAAATATTAGTGGAGATGAACATTATAGACCGTTGGCCCATAACACTAGGGGTGTCGATTATCTACGAAGGTATGCCCTTCAAGAGACATGAAGATTGAGTTGGATTATCGGGAAAAAAGTGGTTAGTTGGATCGGTACCCGGTCGCCCATCTCCCTAATCAATCAACTTCCTGTTGAAAGTAATGTTGAAAATTGTATTATAGAAGAAGCTTTAAAATTCATTGGAATAGTCGCATCTCGCCAAATTAACCGGGCGCTAGCCGATTTGCATACGTCTAGGTCGGTCCCGAAGGGCGGCATACGGACCGCAAGTTACCGTTAACCGACATTTCTCTTAGATTATTTACGATGGTATGCCCTTTGGTTAATTCCTTCATTTCGACCCATGAATCAATGCCATAACATTTGCATACAGTTTGGGTGGGCGAATTTAGACATATTCGAAGGTCACTTTACATCATCGATTATATATATCAAGATTATATAATTTTGTATGCCATTCAATCAGGTGATAGATTCAGTTATACTGAATAAGAAAATAGCGTTTGCATACGAATGTATTGTGAGCATACGTCGATTTTGCTATAGGGAGTCTATTTTTTTCAGTTTTCTAATATTAAAAAGTTGAAACTGGAAATTCCAGGATGATCGAGTGCCAAGGGCTCTCAGGGAGGTTTCGGGGTCACTAAGCTCGAATCTGGCACCTACTACTAGTGCCGGGGGCCGGGGATGATAGAGGATGGCTCTAGGGGGGATGTCAGGGGGCGCATCTCATTTGCAGAACCGGCAGATAGTCTTGTTGGATTCTATGAATCTGATCCTCTTGGAGTTACAATGGGAGTTCCTGAAGGATCAATCTTGGATCCCATGTTTCTTGTTATTTTCATGAACGATATTGTGATATCCCCCTGAGAGGGGCTCGAACATCATCAAGAAGGCGTATAACGATCTTCCTGTATCACGCGTATCAGATTGTTCCCGAGTATCCCAATAATTCTAACATGAATCAGCATATTTTCGAACACCCAATATGTGTCGCAGCGACAGAAACATCTCAAAACAATCGATGGAACTATTAGAGAGAGAGAGGAGAGAGAGATACTTTTGTAGCCACATTTTGTGACCCTCAGTATTGAGATTTCATTTTTATAATGTCATCATGGAAACTATGAAAAATAAACAATTTTTCGACTGTTCATTAACTGAACATACATCTTCTGTCGGTGGATTCAGTAAAATATCACGTCGGGGTCACCAATTTGAAGGGAATTCTATTTAATGATTTAGAATTCTCTAATGAAGAAAATGAAAAGATGTATGTTCAGTTAATGAACAGTCGAAAAATTGTTTATTTTTCATAGTTTCCATGATGACATTCGACAAGCATATAGCCAGCCAAATCATCTGATATATAAGGACGACAGGACAGCAGGTGGTCAGTGATTGTCAGAGAGACAGCCATATACCGCGTGATATAAATGGTTCGACATAAATAGTAGTTATATGTTTGTTATAAATGAGTGTTCGTTCCCTTTCGTGAAATAAATCAGTTCGTAAATAAATGGTGGTGTTCGCTTCTGCACACAAATATCGTAACAATATTATACAGGGTTATTCGCGATGAGTGTTAATTAGACTTCCTGGCAAACCAAGCAACAGATTAATCTGGAATTTCGATGGTATGTATAAATTGACATGATCTACACGTCAAAAATAATTTCAACGATGCGGCGTTGCAGCTTATACTAGATATTTCAAATGGCACACCCTACCCTGTATTTCATTGCATTTTCAGATTCTCCCTGTCCATCCATCCATCCATCCATCTATCTATCTATGGGAATGGAAGAGTTCAATTGAAGGCAATAATTGGAAAATGAAATTATTTTTTCAATAGAAAAATAACCAATAATTATTTAGAAAATCATTCATCATCTTCATCATCTTCATCATCATTGGAGTCCTCATCTTCTCCACTGAGATCTTCCGTTTCACTATCTGATATTTCAGGTGACTCATCAGGGCTCTCAGCTGTGGAAATGAAATGTTATTTCAGAAATAAATTATTAATTGAGTAGGTATTATTTCATTTTTGTCAAACGAAATATACCTGATACTCCTTCAATTCCATTTTCAGAAATGATTATCTCTTGTACTTCTGCAGGAAGAGCATCTCCATCGTACCAACGGAAATCATATTTTCCATTTTCTAAAACCCATCCCCATTCTAGCGGCTCAAGATCTGTTGGAACTCGTAGATGAGCTCCGCTCCATACCTGAGCAATATAAATGGTTCGCCTGAATTGTTGTTCCAATTCAGCTCGGCATGGTGGTAGCCGTGAAGAGTCGTAGCGAAATAATCCCTTCATCAATTTTTCTGAGTTTTTTTTCGGCGTATATGTCGCGGTGAATACAGTCAATCTGCCCTTGTTTACATCTGTTGAATCTTTCAACCCGTACATCATACACACAAACTTCTGAATAGTCTCTGATGTTTCTTTGTACACCGCCTGGTTTCTGATTATTTCTTGACTTGCCATAAGGTAGAAGGCCTTTTGAAAATCTTGGGACTTTTTCAGAAGGTCAAAAGGTCTTTTTTTCCCTTTTGGTGAAAACAGGGATTAAAATCGCAACCTGTGAAAGCGTGAAAGGCTGGAAGAGAGCGCGCTAAACTAGTTCCCAGTTTTTCATACAGCTTCGAGGCGTCTATAAAACGTCGTTTGTTGGCAACGCCCATTTCTAGCCAAATATGAGATGAATTTTCAATTTTACCCAAATTACCAAGCAAGATGATCAGAATATCGCTATCTGAACATTTTATCACGATCTTTTTCTTGCTCTTGCAAGCGTGGTAAACGATTTTCGTGTCCGCTTCTTCATGGTATTCGCAGGTTAAATCATGATTTAGAGTTTTCACTACCTGTCCTGAGGATGTTCTGAATGTGTAACATTCTTTGAAGTTCAAATTAATTACTTTATCACCTATGATTTTCCCAGCTCCACTACTAGCCCAATGCTCTGATGAAAATTCAACAAATTTCATCTTGAACATTTTATCCTTCAAATGTGCGGTGAAGTTTGAACTTCTCAGAGTAAGATGTTCTTTGATAACTCCATCATAACTCGATAAATTCTCGCGTAGCTTATGTTCCTAATCTTTTATTGATGGTTCCGGGTATGTGTCGAACACAATATCAATGTTTTTACTCTTTTTTTAGTTTTTAGGCCAACTCTATGACGCTTTTGAACTGCCATCCTGAAAAAACTTTTTTTTTTACGAGTACTTGCATAATTAATAGTTGCAACTGTAAATTAGGAAGGGTAAACTTTTTTTTTACACATCCCCTGATTTACAGTTGCAACTGTGAATTAGGAGATGTTTTGAAAAAAAAAAAAGATTCTCCTTCCTAATTTACAGTTGCAACTGTGAATTAGGAGATCAACAGTAAATTAGGAGATCAACAGTAAATTAGGCAAATATCCGTGAAAAAAAAGTTTTTTTAGGATGGCAGTTCAGACGCGTCGTACAGACATAATAATTAGTTTCTTAGTGGTTTTTGAACCAAAAACTGATTTTTCGAAACTTCGACCTCGAATAACTCGAAACGGGTAAATCGGGACGAGTTTTGTGTAAGTTCTGAAGTTAGAAAGAAATTGATTGTCGATATCTTGAGCTCTTACAGGGTGTTGAATGAATTTTGCCGCCATTTTTGCTAATTTTACTGGGCTAAATGTAATCCCCGCAACTCGCAAATCGTATGCAAATCATTATTCCATGCATAGTTTATGCTTAACTAACCTTGATCAAAATTTAGGAGCTTCGTAGATAATCTTGTACATACAGGTCAATGATGTAAAGTGACCTTCGAATAAGTCTAAATCCGCCCACCCAAACTGTATGCAAATGTTATGCCATTGATTCATGGGTCGAAATGAAGGAATTAACCAAAGGGCATACCATCGTAAATAATCTAAGAGAAATGTCGGTTAACGGTAACTTGCGGTCCGTATGCCGCCCTTCGGGACCGAGACGTATGCAAATCGGCTAGCGCCCGGTTAATTTGGCGAGATGCGACTATTCCAATGAATTTTGAAGCTTCTTCTATAAAACAATTTTCAACATTACTTTCAACAGGAAGTTGATTGATTAGGGAGATGGGCGACCGGGTACCGATCCAACTAACCACTTTTTTCCCGATAATCCAACTCAATCTTCATGTCTCTTGAAGGGCATACCTTCGTAGATAATCGACACTCCTAGTTATATGGGCCAACGGTCTATTATGAAATCGGGAAGAAATAACCAAGTCCCTAAGGAGCGAATGTTTTGTTGGCCTAATGAGAACCTAACTAACATTTCCCTCAATAGTCTGTAATTGATTGTAGTGAAAATGGTTTCTCTTTCGTGTTGACTGTAGTACTAGAATATATTAGACATTACTCCATACTAATGATGTCATACTGAAATGTATATACCACAAAAATAGGGCAAGTGTTTACTTCCAAAAGATCATTGATATGGACTAGTAACAACTGTTGGTGCCAAAATTGATCCTTGTGGTAACAGACGATACTCCGTCCACCGGCACATGGAGCGATCTGCCTGAAAGGAAACTCGATAAGAAAAGGCATAGCTGACGTGGTAAACCGTATGATGGTAATTTATAGATCTTAGATATATCTAACGCCATATATGGGTGACGTGGGCGAGTAAATGTCCAGTCGATCTTTGATAGTGAAAGTCATATTGTCCGTCATCAATATTTCCTGAGCTTTCCAGCTCCAGCAACCTCAGGGAATGTTTTTGAGTTGATCCCGTCATGCGAACAGTACTGGTTCAGAATCCATAAAGGGTTTTTAATTGGTTTCTCAAACTTTGAAGAGAACATTCTAACTGTCGAAATGATGTCTTGAATTTTTGTTTAATCAATTCAATTTTGCATACTTTTTTGATTTGTTATCTGTTTGCCTGAGCTTTTGCTCTTCTGAACAACGTATACTTAATCTTGAGATAACATACATTTCAATTATATCTCTGGTGAATTCAATTATGTGTTCCAAACATCCCAATAGCACCTCAGGTTCGAAAACAGCTAATTTTTGGGCAATCAGTAAAAGTGATTGTCTCTTCAAATCACTCTGAAAAATTTCAGAAATGGCTTTTTCGATTTCAGTCAGAAATATTATCATGGTGTTGGATGGAAATGTGAGAAATCCTCTACTTTTCATTCGAATGAATTTTTCATTTACATCCTCACAAATTGTTTCCAAACATCTGAAGCATTTTGTGGAGCCCTTGGCCTTTTTCGCAATGTATCCACAGAAGTAAGCAAATGCTTCCTCTACATTTTCAAAATCTTCTTCATACTCATTTACAGTTTCTACATTATCTGAATTAATATTCAGGTCGAATACATATTTCATTTTTTCCTCTTTTAGATCACCTATCAAGATGAGGGAATGGATCATGTCGCCACCTGTCACCTGTCACATTACTTCCCCTGGGAGGCTTGACCAATGAAAATAATGACATAAGCCTGATTATTTGTCCGACTTGAATAATCAATTCAAGGTGACTGTTATATATCCTCCAGCCACTCTCATCATTCCAAAAAAGTGCTAAAAAAATTAAAGTAAGTTAATCCTTGGAATATTTTCTACATATTCACAGAATTTTATGTAATTTCCAATTGTATTCTCATAATCTGTAGTTTATAGAATCCACCCCCTCATCTTGAAAAATTTTATGAAGGTGGAAATTCTTTTACCCATTTATAGATAGATGATATCTATATTTATCAGTATGATTTTATGAATTTTTTTTTAATTATCTCTGATCATTACTTGAGTCGAACAATTGACTAACCAAATTGTGTAGTAGTTAATCTTTGGAAGAAGTCCATGGTAACTCAAAGTGGAGTGGTGTAGTTCATAGATGAAAACCCAAAGTCATCTCCACAACTTTTATTTAATGATCATAGATCATATAAGGAAACATGTTTCGGGCTTATATAAGCCCATCATCAGCCAAGAAAATGTAAAGTTCTAAAAAAGGACAGATTTGACCTATGGTATGATACAATAATATTTTACTTACATGGAAGTGAAAAATGTTGCAATGTGTATACAATAAGCAATAACAGAGCAAGCAAAAGCCATTGCTCCATGATCTGGAAAAGGAACAGTGAAAATTTTTGAAAAAATATCAATATGAGCGAAACTTACTGTTTATATGATAAAAATGTTTTTTAAAATTTTTTTAATAAAGTTGAAGGTTGGGGGTCGGGAACATATTTAATAAGGGCCCCCGGTACCCTTAAATCACCGATAAGTGGTAATTAAACTTGAAAATATCAATCTTTTATAATAAGAAAGATGTGGCTTCGGAAATAACCAAGAAAAGAATCACATGTGCGGAAGCACTGAACAGTAAAATTTTTTTGCTGTCAACTGTCAAGTCAACCAGATTGGTACAATCTTGTTTTCAGTTTTGTTGCCAATCTGACGTAGTGCTGTGCTATGGTGTTGCCCCCCATCACCTTTTCTGTCTATCTATGTAACTAGTTGTTCCATGATCTGGTTGACTTGACAGTTGACAGCAAAAAAATTTTACTGTTCAGTGCTTCCGCACATGTGATTCTTTTCTTGGTTATTTCCGAAGCCACATCTTTCTTATTATAAAAGATTGATATTTTCAAGTTTAATTACCACTTATCGGTGATTTAAGGGTACCGTGGGCCCTTATTAAATATGTTCCCGACCCCCAACCTTCAACTTTATTGAAAAATTTTTAAAAAACATTTTTATCATATAAACAGTAAGTTTCGCTCATATTGATATTTTTTCAAAAATTTTCACTGTTCCTTTTCCAGATCATGGAGCAATGGCTTTTGCTTGCTCCGTTATTGCTTATTGTATACACATTGCAACATTTTTCACTTCCATGTAAGTAAAATATTATTGTATCATACCATAGGTCAAATCTGTCCTTTTTTAGAACTTTACATTTTCTTGGCTGATGATGGGCTTATATAAGCCCGAAACATGTTCCCTTATATGATCTATGATCATTAAATAAAAGTTGTGGAGATGACTTTGGGTTTTCATCTATGTGTAGTAGTTGTTTTCTGTTGAATAAACCGAGAAAGAATTAATATTTTCATCACATGGAGAATGCGAATTCTCAATGTATTTCTTTATACATATATATATATATATATATATATATATATATATATATCTATTCTTTGTGTTCATAAATATATCTAAGAATGTTCCTTTTCATTACTTTCAAACAATCAAAGGGTTCAAACTTGAACGATGGAAACTTGTTATTTTTATAGACCTCAATCGCAGATTCGTGATTAGGTTTTTCTCAATTCAGAATTTCTTTCCACGTCCTGTATGATGAATGCCAATTTATCATACATAAAAAAAAGGATTTAAACTGGTTCGCTGAAATGTATGACACTTTATGATAATTATGAACGCAAGTACCTGAAATGTTCCCTTTTTTCCAGAATATTCCTCAGACATTTAATCAGGTGTGGAAAGTCGGAAAACATTCTTAGTTTCCTCGAGGGGTTCATTGGATGTTCACACCACGGCTGTAAACTGTTTTGTACGCCCATGTTCTTCCACATGGATCTATTCCATGCCGCTCCATCACTTGTGATGGCATCAATGAGAAGACCCGCATTCTCACATAGGATAACACATTCCAAAATCAATTTGGCTTGAAGATCGCCAGTGATGTTTCCTTTTGTTAGGAAACATCCAAGAGCCTGCAAGTCATGACCAGCAAATGGCTGGAACATAATCACAAGCACATGATCACCCAATTGATCTTCCATTCGTTTCGGGGAGTATTTTCCTAGATCAACGAATCCCACAAATTCCATTGTGTTCTTGTCAAACTTTTTGGCAGGGTTTATTTCGCATTCGTCTACCAAAAGAAACCCATGCTTTTGCCATTCTGCCATATGCTTGGTTTTCTCTTTAATCATTACAAAGACTTC